TCAGCTGTTTGTCGGCTCAAAGCGGCAGCCATGTAAATTTAAATGAAGCGGCGATTATTTAAATCGCCGCTTCATTTTACTCTGTCGGGTAGCCTAATCTACATGCCTCTGGCGACAGAGGCATGTAGTCTAGACGTACCCATTATGTTATAAATGTAACTTAGTGTGGCTCCACTGTACGGCAAGAATGTTGTGCATTTTCTCGGTTGTTGCAGTAACTCTTATGTTCATAGTGTGTTGAAGCACAGTACAGGACTATTACTGAAGTTGGGGGCCCTTGTGTTAAGCACTGTAGGCTGAGTAAATACAGGGGCTGTGTCTAGACTGGCCACTTTTTCTGGAAAAGCAGTTGAAAATCATCTGCTGTTGCGGAAAAACTTGCCAGCTCTCTACACTGGGCGCTTGAATTTCCGCAAAAGCACTGACGATCTCATGTAAGATTGTCAGTGCTTTTGCGGAAATACTATGCTGCTCCCGTTCGGGCAAAAATCTTTTTCCGAAAAACTTTGGCGCAAAAGGGCCAGTGTAGACAGCAGAGATCTGTTTTCTGAAAAAAAGCCCCGACTGCAAAAATGGCGATTGGGGCTTTTTTGCGGAAAAGCACGTCTAGATTGGCCATGGCCGCTTTTCCGCAAAAAGTGCTTTTGCGAAAAAGCGTCCTGCCAATCTAGACGCGCTTTTCCAAAAATGCTTTTAATGGAAAACTTTTCCGTTAAAAGCATTTCCGGAAAATCATGCCAGTGTAGACGTAGCCAGGGTGAAATACCAGTTCCTTTAAAAATCAATGGCAAAACTCCCCTTGATTTCAATAGGTCCCATAGTGAGCGGCAGTCCCCATGCTGAAATGTGTAAATTCTACCTAGACGAGTGAGGCAAAGTGAAGAACTGGGTAAGGAGAGATTAAGTGAATTGTCCCAACATTGAGAGATCCGGCGAGTGAGGCAGTATCTTTTACTGGGCAAATTTTTGTTGGTGAGAAAGACAAGCTTTTGAGCTTGTCACTGGCAGTGTCAGGAACAGAACCCAGATCTCCTTTATCAGTCCCGTGCCCTGTCTGCTTGACTCTGCTGCCACTTCTAAGCCCCTGCAGAGACGAACTCCTGAGATCTCTTCCGGGCTCCTGCATTTACCCCCTCTGTGGCTTTGAGCAAATCACTTAATCTCTCGGCCAGCTGTAAAATGGGGATCATATTTACTGGCCTAACACACCAGGGTAATGAGCCTGCAATTTGTAAAGCACTGTAAAAACCGATATTATTATTACTGTATGAAAACCTGGAAAAACCCCGTGCACACCTCGAGTGCTACATGTTTTTAGCTTGTGGGATTTTCTTTTAATAGGGCTTATCCATTAAGTCTATTCATGAACCCTTTCACTGAGGCCTTCCTGTTGGTTTCTTATGCTGTTTATATAATTTTTATTGTCTTTCGTGGAACAGAGGCATGGGACTAACTAGAAATCTCTGATTTGCTAAATGGGCGGCTTTTTTGTTTTGTTTTATTGTGCTTTTTTATTTCAAAAAATAGTTTGTTCAATACACACCTTTCCTCTTTTCTCAAGGGAACACACTTTTCTGGCTGGGCCACAGAGGCGGGAAATATCAGAGGTCTCAGCCTTTAAAGGAGAGTAGCCTTTTAGATGAGTATGTAATGACGCTAATTTCCTCAATGGGCAACTGAATTTTAAGTGACTTTAAAGTAACTATTTACTATCCCATCTCGGAAGCAGAATGTGTGTGAACACAGGATGGGCCAGTCAGTAGAACAGGCATCGGGGGCTCCTCCCAGGTTCTAATATTCCCTCCCCCCACCAAAGACACTTTCTGTGATTTGGGGAAAGTCACTTAAGTCACAAAGGTGCAAGTAAGGCTCCCTCCACCTTATGACCTACCACCTTGTGCCGGGATAGACACAATCCCATTGAATGGTTGGAATTTCTAGTGCTTCGATAAAATTCCTTTATAACTCTGCTGACTTACCTTTCTGGTCTTGTAACCCAGCCTTCTCATTCCACTTCTAATCACTGCAGGTGCAGAGGGCACCGGTTACGCTGATTTTCTTAGCCAAGTCCTGTGGCGTTTCAGTAATGTGGATGAATGTCTTCAAGCAACTAGACTTGACACCGTCCCCAAACACCTCTCACTTCTGAATGAGCTCAGCTAGTGTTAAACCTCAGCGTAAACCTTAGCTGGGACCTAAGATAATCTTTTGACAGTGGGTTTCCGGAGGAATTTCAAATCTTTACCAGAGCGTGAGCTGTTTGTAACTAGCTCCTCGGTTCATAAGATTTTTAACTCTGCCTGCTACACAACGATAAACATAATGATCCCAAGTGACTGGAGAGTTTTATTATTTTAATACAGCTGGAAAAAATAACAGTTTATGAGAAACATCCAAATCGGAATAGTCACTAAAGGAGGAGGCATGATTTCAGGGTTAAAACACAGGCTTGGGAATGAGACCTGCCCGCTCTACAGACTTTCCAGTATACTTCCAATGATGTGTCTCTGTTCCCATGTGTAAATGGGAGGTGATGATACTTCCTTTCTCCCACCTTTCATCTCTCTTGTCTGTTTAAACCAGAAGCTCTTCGGGGCAGGAACTATTTCTTATTCTATTCTCTGTGAGGACAGTGTCTAACACAATAGGGTCCCAATCCAGAGGCTACAGTGATACAAGTAACATAACAGCAAAAAGAGCTTCATTTCTTTTGAGATCACCAATGAGTAACCTTGTGTTATCAATTAGATGAAATAAAATCAGGGATGAGAGAGAACCAAACGATAGGATTAGAAAGATAATACTAATCTGCTTCAGTTACTGTGAAAGGGGTACTTTCTGGAGAAAGGGGTAAACAGCGAGGTGGCTAAATTTGCAGATGATACTAAACTGTTCAAGATAGTCAAGTCTAAAGCAGACTGAAAAACTTCAAAAGGATCTCACAGAACTAGATGACTGGACAACAAAATGGCAGATAAAATTCAGTATTGATAAATACCAAGTAATACACATTGGAATATAAATCTATGTCTACATCCTGAATACTGTGTGCAAATGTGGTGGCCTCATCTCAAAACGGATATCTTAACATTGGAAAAAGTTTAGACAATGGAAACAAAAATGATTAAGGCTTTGGAATGAGGAGGAAAGGTTAAAAAGACTGGGACTTTTCAGCTTGGAAAAGAGATGACTAAACGGGGATATAGTAGAGGTCTATAAAATCACGATTTGTATAGAAAAGTGAATAAAGAATTATTTATTCACTCCCATAATACAAGAACGAGGGGTCACCAAATGAAATTAATAGGTAGCAGGTTTAAAACAAACAAACTGAAGTAGTTCTTCACACGACGTACAGTCAACCTGTGGAACTTCTTGCCGGAGGATGTTGTGAAGTCTAAGACTTAGAGTTCAAAAAAAAGTTGATAAATTCATGGAGGCTAGGTCCATCAATGGCTATTAGCCAGGATGGGCAGCAATGGTATCCCGAGCTTCTGTTGGTCAGAAGCTGGAACTGGGTGTCAGGGGGGGATGAATTACTTGATTCTCTGTTCATTCTCTGTGGGGCACCTGGCATTGGCCGCTGTCAGAAAACAGGATACCATGCTAGATGGACCTTTGGTCTGATGTAGTATAGCCCTTCTTGAAAAGCACCTTCTGTCTAGTGCTAATTATAAGAGACTTAAGTGTCTAGTTTGCTTTGTCACATATGTGGTTCATACCTCAGAACTTTCTCAGAGCATGCCATGTTGTCTCAGCCACCCAACCGCTTTTACAATTCTTCCAGCTTTGAGATAAAGATGAAAGCCTTTACAGTAGGCTTACCTCAGCCAGCTGTTGAGGCGTCTTCTCATCCTCTGATGTAACAAGTTGTCCACGTGATGCTGCTTTTTTCAGGTATCCTTTCCAAATATCCAACTGTCTACTTGCCATGTCCACTGTGCACTGAAATCAAATGGTCATTTATAAGTCTTCATTAGCTGAATGGGTCGCATGACTCGTCATTAAAGGATACATGGTAGAAGGGAAGAAAATCCCTGCTCCATTTTATGCCGCATGACACCAGTATGATTGTGCTTTTAAAGGCATGTGGTGCCTCTTTGGAGCTCCTTTTGGTGTGAAATCCAACTAACTGAAATCCAAACATCCATTTTCTTTTAGGTGATGAATAACATTTCAAGCTCATGCCTCTCCCAAGACCTTCTCTACACCTCCGCCCTCTTACCCTCACCCGTCTGAGACATGCCATTTATTCTTTTTATTAGGGTTGTACCTAAATGCCATGGCACAAGGTGGTGTGTCCCCACTAACAGAGAGTGGGGCTCAAACCCTGTTTCGTGGCCCCTTTAAGGAAACAGGGCATAGCAGACAAGTTGGGGACAAGGGGACAGATAGTAATCAGGGAGCTGCTTCCAGACCATGATAAAAGCCCAGAGGTTAGCTGAGGCCAGGAAGAGGAGAGCTAGCCCGAAGAATGCTAAGTTGGGAACAATGAGTCAAGGAGGCTCTCTAGGGCGGGAATGAGGGATAGGAAAACCTGCCTGAATTACAGCACAGTCTTAAGAAGGAGGGCTGTGAGGCCCCTCTCAACCAAGGGGAAGAAGTGTGCTAGCCAAAGGACCCACCCAGAGAGTGGGGCTGAAACCCAGAGCCTGGCAAGCTGGGGAAGCTGGAATGGGCCCATGAAGAAGAGGGAAATGGAATTTGCTAACGAGGGAGAAGGAATTGTAAGCCCAGGGAGCAGGGCAGGGAGGGCACCTGCAAGAAAGCCTCTTGAGAGGCCAGGGCCTGCCCTGGGACTAGGAGGTTGTGTCTACATTGACGCGATTTTGTGCAAAGCGGCCACTTTTGTGCAAAAACTTGCTGCCTATCTACACTGGCCGTGAGTTCTTGAGCACGTACACTGACGTTCTAATGTATGAAATCAGTGCTTCTTGCACAAGAACTATGATGCTCCCGCTCAGGAATAAGCCCTCTTGCACAACTGTTCTTGCACAAGAAGCCAGTGTAGACAGGCAACATGAATTTCTTGCGCAAGAAAACCTTATGGTTAAAATGGCCATCAGAGCTTCCTTGCGCAAGAGAGCGTCTACACTGGCATGAATGCTCTTGCGCAAAAGCACATCTCTTGCACAAGCACACATGCCAGTGTAGACACTTTATTCTGGAAGAGTTTTTGCACAAGAACTCATCTGCAAAAGAGTTTTTGCGCAAGATCATGCCAGTGTAGATGTAGCCGGAGAGTTTCCCTGTGCAGAGAAACTATAGCATAGGTTACGTCTACAATTGCCGCTTCTTGCGGAAGAATAACTGTTCTTCCGCAAAAACTTGCCGGCTGTCTACACTGCATGAGCGTTCTTCCAGAAGTAAATTTACAATATAGCATTGTAAATCAGGGCTTCTTCCAGAAGAGTTATTCCTCTCTCCACGAGGAATAAACCCTCTTGCGCAAGAGCTCTTCCAGAAAAAAACAGTGTAGACAGGCAACGTGAATTTCTTGCGCAAGAAGCCCCTATGGTTAAAATGGCCATCAGAGCTTTCTTGTGGAAGAGAGCATCTACACTGCCATGGATGCTCATGTGCAAAAGCACATCTCTTGCACAAAAGCACATGGCAGTATAGATGCTCTCTTGTGGAAGAGTTTTTGCACAATAACTCTTCCGCAAAAGAGTTCTTGCACAAGAAACTGCCAGGGTAGACATAGCCTATGGGTATCGCATATCTGAAGCCTTGGAAGAAAAGCAAACTGGAAGCCTCCAGAGAGAAAGGTTTGGGCCTGAAGAAGCCTAGAAAATGAATGTACTTTGGGGTGTAAGTTAGAGGGAGAACCAGGAGGGCTCTAAGCTATGCTATTTCATGAAGGAGTACACAGCAGATGGCCACAGGCCCCAGCCAAAATCAGGGCCCCATTTTCTAGACCCTGTCCAAATGCTGCTTAAGAGGCATTGCCTGCCCTGGGGAGCTTACCAGCTAAAGAATGGGTGGTGGAAAGAGGTGAAGTGACCAGGTAAGTGCAGAGGTGGAAGAGAACCTAGCTCATGCTTCCCAATCCTCAGCCTTATTGATAGACATTGTTTCTACTGTGACCTGTCTATGTTCACTCAAGTGTCCGGTAACACAGTGACACACAATGGAGTGCAATTAGAGTAAAAAACAAAAAGGCACTTGTATTTATGAATAAACACATTAGGATAATAGAGGTCAGACCGTCTTTCCTATATAGATGAGTGAGCCAATTATCTTGGTGTCGCATATAGCTGTATTATCTTTTAGAAGTTAGTGTAATCGTCTTTTTAATAGTCTTCCTATTAAATATAGATGAGCTAAGAACAAGGATTAAAATGGTAAATGCTTAGTTGGCTTTATTGTGACAGCCACAAAAATGTTCCAGTTTTGCTTGGGAACCTGGTAGCAATTAGTGTAAAATCAGCTATGTGGCATATTTAATTAGCTGATTTCTTGCAGAAACGGCATTTGTTTGTGCTGTTTAAATGTATGAAAACATGGTATTTTGCTTTAAGGAAAATACACAGAAATGTTCTCCAAATATTTTCTTTAGAAAGTACTGTTTGGTTTGTTTAAATACTTTGTAACATGCACAAACACGTTGGCCATGAAAAATTTTAAACTTCTGGGATACATCTACACTGGCATGATTTTGCGCAAGAACTCTTTTGCGGAAGAGTTCTTGTGCAAAAACTCCTCCAGAAGAAAGCGTCTACACTGGCACGTGCATTTGCGCAAGAGATGTGCTTTTGCACAATGGCATTCATGCCAGTGTAGATGCTCTCTTGCACAAGAAAGCTATGATGGCCATTTTAACCATAGGGCTTTCTTGCGCAAGAAATTCATGTTGCCTGTCTACACTGGCCTCTTGCGCAAGAACAGTTGCACAAGAGGGCTTATTCCTGAGCGGGAGCATCAGAGTTCCTGTGCAAGAAGCACTGATTTCATACATTAGCATGTCAGTGTACTTGTGCAAGAACTCACGGCCAGTGTAGACAGGCAGCAAGTTTTTGCACAAAAGTGGCTGCTATTGCACAAAATCGCGCCAATGTAAACACAGCCCTGGAGATGCATATACAAAGTTTATAAACAATGGAAGGTGATTTTTATTTCCTAAGTGCAGTATTTCATATAAGCTTCCCTTCCATTCCCCAAAAGATCAGGCATTTTAATAACTGTTGAATCTTTCCATCTACCTGCCTCTCTCACGTGTAACAGATTGTATTTTGGATTGCAGCAGGTTTACTCTATCAGATGTGGTGGTTGGGGAGTGACGGCATGTGTATGCATTTTGAAGAGCTGTCGACCTGGGGGGAACCCTGCAGGGCTGAGACAGGAAGTGTGGCTGGAGGTAGAGTTCATCATTCTGCCACAGATTTTTTGGAGCCGAAGTAATCATTAGCTAACCGTAATTTCCGCCTGCACAGCTGCGCGCAGTTGAGGAAAGGGAATGACAGTTACAGCGTAAGGTTAGTGGGGAAGAAAACACCCAATTAACATACTGGAAAAAGGCACAACTGTAGCAGAACTGTATTTTAAGGGGGAAAAGGATTGTTTGGAGTGTGGCCCATGCTTTAAATAGCCTAAGCAAAAATAGAGCCTTTTCACTCAACAGCTCTTCTTCCAGTGTCCATTCAGAGACAAGTGTGTGTTCTCTCTGTACACTCACAAATGGATTGATCAAAACTCAGTTTTTTGTACTGCACAGCCTGGGAGAGACTGAGATTAATTCCTTTCTGGTACATATGATATAGAAAACATGGAGGTGTTATATACGAAACTCCAAGATGCCGTCTGGGCAGGTTATCTTGTCAGAGTCCTCTTTGTGCATAGGCTATACTATCTGAGCTAGTTTGACTCTCGCTAGCTCAGGTAACAACAGCAGTGAAGACAGCACAACACGGACCCCAGCATGGGTAGTACAAGCTTAGCAGAGACCATGGGGATGTGCTCAGATCACTAGCCTTCTCTGAAGCTGTGATGAATGGGAGGGATAGTTTCCTTTTCTGGACGTTCCAGTCATATAGTCAACTAAAGACTTTTCACAGTGGTTAACTCTTGAGACCTAACCCTAACTGACTTCCCTGTAAGGATTAAAACCATAGACAGTAGGTCCTAGAGAGTCCCCAGGAATGCTAGGGAAGCAGGAAGTGAATTTGAAAGAGGATAGGAGAGCCAATGGAAACAGAATGTGGGTTTCTAAATTAGAAGCAAAGACCTTCCTGTTCCTGTGTGACCAGAGCAGAGTCTGAGAGACATGAATTAAGCGAGGGAGCCAAGCATGAGTATCCAGTGGCATCCATGCTTAAGGAAGGACTATACATTGGAACAGGAGATGTTTAGTTAGATGAGATCAGGTTATTTTCTTTATTTTTGAGTTTGTTGGGCTTCTCTATTTTGAGCACATGTAACTATCCCTTACACTCAGCTACCCCCTGAAGCTTCTACCCCTTACACTATAATTTTCCAAACTGAATCCCAGGGATGCAATTCTCTGGCTGGGTTTAGACTGCATCCCTTTTCCGTAAAAGGGATGCAGATTAGACACATCGCAATTGCAAATGAAGCGGGGATTTAAATTCCCCCCGCTTCATTTGCATAAACATGGCTGTCGCTTTTTTCCGGCTCGGAGCTTTGCCGGAAAAAAGCGCCAGTCTAGACAGGGATCTTTTGGAAAATAAAGCCTTTTCTGAAAGATCCCTTATTCCTTATTCAGATTAGGGATAAGGAGAAATTCTTCTTTGGAGAAGCTTGGAGCTTTGCTATACTAAAAGACTGGACTGCAGACCCAGTTCTAAGTGGGGGATTTAAATCCCCCCTTCATTTGCAATTGCAATGTGTCTAATCTGCATCCCTTTTACGGAAAAGGGATGCAGTCTAGACACAGCCTCTGTGTTTTAATTTTTTTTTTCAATTGCTCGGTAACACCTAGCAGCCAA